GACACCTCATAGTAACCTCTTTCTAGGCTGACGCAATTAAAAACACAGCGTCTGCTATATTGAAGTGTCTCTTCCAAAATTCCTTCAAACTAACATCACTGGAAGAAGTGGATGCAAAACATTTTCTAAACAGTGCCTTTGTGTACAGCTTCTTAAAGTTAGAAATTACCTGTTGATCCATGGGCTGGATGAGAGGTGTTGTGTTGGGTGGCAAGAAGTGCACAGTGATGGAGGGTGGGCTGGTGCATTGTCCATCACCAACAAAGCTTTCAGTGGAAGATTATTCTCCCTGAGGTATTCCCGAACACTGGGTCCAAACACCTCAATCACCCACTCAGAGAAAAGACTCCTGGTCACCCAAGCCTTTGGGTTTGACTGCCACATAACACCAAGGTGGTTCTTCCTAATGTTTTTGAAAGCTCTGGGGTTTTCTGCATGGTACACAAGGAGTGGTTTTATTTTGCAGTCACCAGAAGCATTAGCACAAAGAAGGAGGGTAAGTCTGTCTTTCATTGGCTTATGGCCAGGGACAGAAGTTTCCTCCCTGGTAATGTATGTACGGCGAGGCATTTTTTTCCAAAAAAGTCCAGTTTCATCACAGTTGAATACCTGCTGAGAAACAAAGCCTCCCTCTTTAATCACATTCAAAAAAATGTCATGGTGTTCCTTAGCTGCTTCCTTATCTGCACTAGCAGCATCACCATGTCTCACAACACTATGTAATTTATTTCTCCTTCTGAAACCAGTAAACCATCCCTTGGTATCCCTAAACACTGGCACATAACTATCACTTCCACTGGAAGTTTTGGCTTTTAAGATCCTCAAACAATTGTCTGGCCTTCTCACAAATTATAGCTTCACTAATGCTATCACCTGCCATTTCTTTCTCCTTTATCCACACTAAGAGTAAATTTTCCATCTCCTCAATCACATTACACCTTGCTTTGCTAAGTCTAGAGATTCCCCTAGCCACTTGCACACTTTTCAACTCCTCTTTATTCTTCAAAATCGTACATATAGTCGATTTAGCCATCCCATACTCATCACTAAGTTTCGCAATGCTTGTTCCATCCTCATGTTTCTTTATGATTTCTTTCTTAGTTTCAAGAGTTATGAGCTTTCTCACTTGCTTTGGACAATTCATTGTTACAATTGTACACTTGTATAACAAAATATTTATACAAATAACTCGTATTTCCACATCAAAAGACGAAATTTCAACAATAACAGTGGTGCACTGGCTAGACAATGATGGCACCTGACGCTCTTGTTGTGGGTCGCGGTACAACAATATTCATGCGCCAGACGAAATAGTCCCGCATTCATCCGCGTTTGTTGTAGGAGTTGTGTTCGTTATAGCATTCTCAATTTTATAGGTAAAACCGTTCGTTATAGGAATATTCGTAATAGGATCCGTTCGTTATAGCATACCCCACTGTAGCTATTTTTGTTTTGTTTTTGTACTCTGTAATGTCCTCTATCTTAGCTTGAACATGACTATCACATTTGCTCAGATCTTTTTTGCACTAGTTTCTGAAGTTTTGAAGAACAAAATTTACATTTCAATTTCTTCACTCTTCCTTTTCTTCTGCTTTTCTCTGCACCTGTGATGTATTTAATGTATCTGTCTAACCCTGCTGGTATGAGGACTGTGTATGATAGTAAAAGAATGTACTGTATATCCTAATTTCACAAAACACAAATCATGGATAACTGGATATTCAGAGAGCACACTAAAGAATGACGTTTTCAGTCTGGACTTTCTATTTTTGTAAAGAGGCTGTGTAAACCGGGGACTCCCTGTATACAGTAACTACCATATGTGATAGTTTGTAAAAAGAAAATACATGGGTACAGTTGTGAATTTTATTACAATAGCCACATTCCAGCAAGTTTTAGTTTTATACGGAGATTCTAGGTTACTCTTGATCATTGAAGATGGGCCAACGGTACCTTTGCTATCAGGCGACCTATGGTGTAAGGGTCAGCATGCTCGCCTAGCTAGCGAGCGGACCCCGGTTCGATCCCGGGCAGGGTGAGACCATGGACAAGTTTCTTTGTGCCATTTGCCTCTGTCCACCCAGCAGTAATTGGGAACCTGGATCTTAATCGATTTGCGGATCGTGTTCCGGGGTAATGGTTAACCAGTGGAGTTGGCGAGTTGTCAGGAATTCTCGGACTATTCCTTGACGCTGGGTGTTGCAGCTCATTAACTTAGGGTGTGGTTGATGTGTTGGCGACAGCTGCTACACCTTAAACAAATTCACAGCCTAGGTGGCCCTTGGGACGGCCATCCTCGTTACACGTGGGGCAACCATTATTACCTTTGCTATAAACACTTTCTAGATTAAATATGATAGAAAAATGTGGGAGGTTCTGCAAAGTTTTGTTTAAACAATTTGGTCCAAAATAAGTAAAATAGGATCAGTGTATTAATTATGTTGAGTGAGGGAATGTCTTGTTGCCGGGGTAATGCCGTATTTTTCTGTTTCATTTGCACGTTTGGTTCTGTAGTTTGTGTAATCAACGCCTTTATTTTTCATAAACATCTATTCCTGAAATTTTAAGAATTTTTACAGACAGAAGATGTACCGTATAGTCAACAAAAATTTTTTTGCACCTTTGCAGTGTTAGCTATACAGTATGACACAATGAACCAATAATTCTGAACAACACAGGTTTAAAATGAATTCCTGTTAATTTTTCTGGAATAACTATACTGTACAGTGCATGATATTATATGGAATTCATTGTATTGGTTACACAATGTATCACACAATCAGAAGTACCAACCTTACCAAATGAACATGGCCTCAGTCAGTGATCGTTGCACAAAGCTACAGTATCAGACCCAGGGGTGCAGAAAATATTTTGGTTGGCTCTACATGGAGTTGTATATATGTCCCCCATAAAAAAAAATCATAAAATTTGAGGTTGTGACCTGTGCAGATGATACTGCTCTTATTGCAGATAGTGAAGAGGCATTGGAAAAACTCATTATAGGTTAGGTATCCCTTATCCGAAATTCCCAAGTCCGAAATTCTCTGAAATCTGAAAGTCTATTTCATTATATTTATGGTAGATAATACACTGAATATGGCATATGCAGTATCATAATTTTTACTAGGGTAAGTCTGCTGCAGAATATAATATGTATCCATAAGCTACCCCATTATACAGGTTCTGTATACAGGATATAGGTATTCCCAAATCCAAAAAAAAATATTCCAAATCCGAGACCCTTAAGGCCCCAAGCATTTTGGATAATGGATACCATACCCAACCTGTAATAGATTAGCTAGTGAAAAAACGTGAAAGAAATATGGTAGAAGAGTTAATGCTGTCAAGATAAAAATAGGGGTAGTTTCCAAATTGGGAATAAATCCTAAAATGCAAATTATGGTACCGTAGGCAGCAGGAAACTTACACAAGTGGATAATTTTGTGTACAGAGTATTTGGGAAGTAACATTATGCTGTGATGATAGATGAATAGAACATATCAAAAGAAGAATAGGGCGAATAAAAATGGCAATTAATAATCTTAAAGACCTTACGAAAATGGACTTTAACTTCAATTTGAGAAAAAAGCTGCCGATATGCTTTAGAAACAGTACAGTGGGCCCTCGGTTAACAAACGCCTCGGTAAACGAAATTTCGGTTAACGAATTACCTCCCATAAGAATCTTCATTTCGGTTCATGAAAAAAAATTCGGTTTACGAAATTTTTACGAAAATGTTTCGACATGCTTTGGTTTGCTCACCAGCTGGAAGATTAGTCCACTAATACAGAAATCAGTTCTTGGGCTTACATTCTTTAAAATTGGAGTAAATATCAAGAAGGTTGTACTATTCAATAATTTTCAAGTTTTATATTAAGTTTTTTAGTAATTTTAACACTTATTTAACATAATTGCAGTACAGAGAACTAGTTTTTGGTCTGCCCATATGCCACTTCACTCACCCACCAAGGCCTCAGTTTGTATCTCTATTCAGTGGAGGAAACATCTTGCTTGTGGGTCTCTTGAACACAGAGTATTTTTACATTTTTACAGTACAATTATTGGTCATTCTGAAATTTATTTAACATATTAACAATATATAGTGCAGTGCAGTGTTGATTTAAAGAAAATAATTTTGAATTACACCAAGTGAACTTAAAATTTTATGGGTGAAATGACGGCATCAAGCATGGGGTGATTTCTCTTCCACCCCCACTTCCTTCTCTTCTCCCTTCTCCTCCTTCCCACTTCTAATTCCCATCATCATCATCATCATCAACCAGGAGCCTTCTACATACACACCTCAAAGTAAGTGTACTTTACTGCATTTTTTCAGTTTTTTACTTTGTATGTAATTTTCAGTGAGCTGGAACCAATTACCCAAAATCCCATTGAAACAATGGTTTCGGTTAACGAACGACTTTCTGGAACGAATTGTGTTCGTTAACCGAGGGACCACTGTACCGGTATATGGCAAAGACTATTGTATGGGTTACATGCATGGACAATTTCAGAAGACACCAGAAAGAGGTTGGAGGCCTTTGAAATGTGGTGTTATAAGCAAATGCTAAGAAAATGTGACACTGACAGGAACACAAATGTATTAAGATTAACAAAAACTTTATAAGAAATTCTTGAAATGCACAGAAAAAGAAAAATGAGATGCATTGATCATATAATTAGTGATGAGGGGATAATAACAGAAATATTAAGTTGAGGGTAGTTGGGCCAGGGGAAGGCAGAGACTGAGATGGATGAATAAAATTCAAAACTGAGTCTCCAGAGAGATTCAAAACATTGGAGGACTGTGGTCGCCAACCCTCAGATATAAGGATACTGTAGTACTCTGATTGATTGAACATAGTTTATCATCAGTCTTTTTTTTCCCCACATGTTGCAGCTTTAATTTTCTAAAACATTTAATGCTTTGATTATAGAACATAGTTGTCTTCCTGACTGTTAGTACAGTAAAGTACAGTACAGTACTTGGTTTCTTCCAGTATGAGTGGAGACGGGGTAGAGGAGGACCAAGTGGTGAAAGTGGAGGCCACGACTCCTGCCTCTACCAGTACAACCACAGCCACTGTGACTACCATCACCAACAGTACCTCCAGCACGCGAGCATCAACACCACCAGTAGATTCTGTTATCCCATTAACACCACCACATTCAACCACTACACCAACACCAACCATCACCACTAGCACCACTGATACACCAATATCAGTGTCAGCAACATCAATAGCAACACAGTCAACAACAGTTACAACTATAGCAACTACAGCAGTGGTAACACCTGTAGCAGCAACTTTAGCTAGCAAGGAAAAAACTGAGGAGGAAGAAGTGGAAGAGGAAGAGAGCACAGCAGATGAACCCAGTAGTTCTCCAGAACAAGTTCACATCACTACAGAGCAGTTAGCTTCTCTGTCAAAGGAAGAGTTGGTAGAAAAATGGTTTCAGCAAGAGAAATTTGTGGAGAGTCTACAGAGCAGGATGGAAGCAATGGAAAGAGAAGGTCAGTGGACTGTTGATAGTAGTTACATGGTATTTGCTATTTTAATAATTTCAGCATTAATGTTTAATTATTTCAGCATTAATGTCTTTGTATGCACTGACATGAGGTTGATATTGATTAGTGAACACTGAGATGATGTTTAAAATTTTCTACCTGTAGCTCTACTGTCTGTCTTTCTACACTTCTATTTACATATCCATCAAAATCTTATGATCTTTGTTTTGATAGCTTGGGGGTAATCACCCAGTTTCTTTTCTTTCTGAAAGTTGGATTTTCTTTTCAGTGTTAAGGATTTTGTTTCATTTAGCTGACTTATTTCCTTGTTATAAATGAATTTTTACTCGTATGTCTAGTTGGCTTGGCAAACATACGATATCATCTTGGAACCCTCCCCTACCTTTGGGCTGGTGTGAAACTATGCTAGAACTGTATGGTAATTGGCACCTTGCAAACCAATTTTGTAGGTAGGTGGGTAGTCTATGATTACCTCTAGGAGTTGTAACCCTGCCATGCCAGCTGTTTCCACTTTTGGTTTGGGATTCGGAAGGGCATCCAGCCATAGAACTTTGCCGCAACATGTCTGAAGGCAGGCGGGTCACCAGAGCTGTGTCCATCTCCTGGTCTCTGCTGCATTTTCTGGGCTGGCTCCCTGGGTTTGCAGTGGCGAGTGGGTGGGACAAGTCATTTTGGTTTTACCCAGCAGCTGCCATCAGGTAATTGTGCCTGATCTGCACACCAGCTGATGTGGTATCATGTGCTCATTCAAGCCTTCTTCCACTGATGTTTGTGAGGGAGAACCTCTTCCTTTAGGGGTAGCTAACTTCAGGTTTCTGGGGTCCAGACCATTGGCTTAGTCTTGCACTTATTCTAGAGCTGCCCAGTTTCAGGTTTGACCATAAAATAGGATTTCAGTATCATTCCTTCATTTCTTCTTCATTTTCTAATTGTTATTGCATTCTTGAACTGTTAACTTCTTGTTTAAATAGCTGTTATCTTGGGCTTGCAGTGGAAGAACTACGTAGCGCAAGAGAAAATGAAGAGCGATTGAAGGGGCAGCTAGCAGAATTGCAGCGCAAGGAGCAATACCACATTATGAGACTCTCCTGTAAGGAACATGAACTACAGGATATGGGGGTAAGTACCATGTTCATGATATCTCATGTATTGCTGCACCATCATCAGCTACATGTTCCTGCTCTCTCAGACAAGATTTCTATAGAATAGTGTACAAATTAAAAAGAACAATGCATTTGTGCCCACCTGAGTGCATACTTGTGCACCTGCATGTGTGGGCTAACATTGGGCTGTGTGCAGTAAGTTAGGCAGCTGGCAGGTAATTAAAGTGCTTTGATATTTTTGTATTTATTCTAGTTATGGTTATATTCTATAAACACAAAGGAAAGCTAGTAAGTCCTGTGATTTGGGTATACTGATCTCTGTTGCTGTACTTACGAGTTTTATAGATTTCATAGCTTTTGGGTAGGCATAATACAGCATGTGACAACCCTTGTGCCTAAACACTATGGTTTGAATTTTATTGGTGTGAATGTATGTGTGTGTACAGTACTGATGTGTGTGTCTGTGACTTGTATGTTTGCATGCCCAGGCACAAGACTGTGGGTGTATGCTCATTCAACTGTATGTACCCATTTGTCTCTATACAGTATAACTTTAGTTTCATACGGAGTAATGGATTTGCAATACAACTTTGTGTTTGTTCTCTAAATTAAGGATTTCTTATTTTTTATTTCTCTAGGTCTTGAATATCCCATACTGTACTGTATGTAGTTTTATGAGAGTTGCTAGAATGTTCATGAAGTTTGCAAAGTGAGACCACAACTTAATAGAATTAATGTGTTTTGATGTGTAATGTTTAATGATGGGGTAGAATATTGTCTTCTTATCAATTTATCTTCTCTTGTATTATAATTGATATGCTCACCAAAATTGGGGGAGCAAAAGTGTTGCCATTTTATCCTTCTGTATACCATGCGTCTTTGTTCAGACTATAACTTTGAAGCGTTATAATAGATATTGACATTTTATGTACCCGGTAAATAAAAAGAATCGCCGATGATGTGTAACACAAAGGATCCATATTACTTTTGTGAAGGTCAGGATCAGAGGAAGGGGTTAGAGGTTACATTGTTAGATGAAAAAATCCCAAGTTTTTCAGACAATAGCCGTTATGTCAATGGAAGACACCATACAACTATAAGCTGATCATTATGTAATTTTCACAACCAATCGGCATTGGTAACAGGTCAGCGTTGAATTTTATTTTTTTGTTTTTTTATTTTTTTATTGGACATACAGTAAGTCAAGGGCCGAGGGCACATTCCTGATTTAACATCCACAGTACAGTACAGTACTGTATTACAAGATATACTGTAGTATAGAACACGATTTACACCGGTGTAGTGAACAAATACACGACTTTTCTTCTTTTTATACGGGTTTCTATACATCAGCACAGATTCTGAGCCAAAACTTATGCAGTATACTACAGCTGTTACAGTACTGTAACACAACCAAATTCATTATTGATGGATTCCATGGGGGAGTGAGTGAACGTTAATCACAGAGAGGATGTTTTTGGTGTGGCACACTGCTGGACGGTCCCTTGTGTCATGTTTTAACATAGTTTACTGTATTTATATGCTGATAATTTTTGGAGGGCTATGTTAATAATTTATTTAGTCTTTTATATATTCATATACAGTTCTGTATACATTAGTGTTGAGGACACCTGGTAAGCCCAGAACAACTGTGGAGAGTGTTGGGTTGTGGGGCATCACACTGTCCGTATTTATAAAGTGTTTGATTTGTCAAGTAGTAAATCCTTTTCTGTCGAATTCTGCATTTTAATGTGTAATGATTACATAAAAGTTCTAGTCATGGATGGTCACAGTGGTTCTTTGACCATGATTTTTATTTTCTCATTACATAATGTATTCTCAATTATGTAATCTTGGGATACCTTTAGGAACACAAGTTTACTGTACATATGTTTTTATGACACTATACTGTACTGTAATGGAGTAAATGTCACCAATGGTTAAAGATTAGAATGTAAAGTTTAAAGATCTCATGTATGTCATAACCTTGTCTAGAGGATATTGTTGATACAGTATATATTTTGAAGAAGCCTCTCACATATTGGCATTGTGTAGAACACTAGCTTTCAAAGGTTAAGGTCAATGCTGAAGGTCAAATGTCATTAAAACCTTTTCTAGAGTATAACTTTTACATTCATATAGCCAGTTAAGATGTTGTTTTGAAATTATGATGAATATTTGTCATCACTAGAGAAAGTGCAAAGTATACATTACTAAATTCTGGTGTTTGTTGAAATATCACCTTATTGAAGTCCTCATACACCTGTATCAGCCACCTCCATTGATAGCTGCATTTCCCATTTAACCTTGACTTGACCTTAATCTAACCTTGACCTAATTTTGATGCCATACATCCAACTTAGTCACAAGGGACCATAAACAGAGCTCACTGAAAAAGAGCATCAGAGGAAGCATATGCCAAGTGTCATTGTTGTATGTCCTGAACTTTTTACATTAAACAGCAGTTTTCTGCCACTTTTTATTTTCTGGGAGTGTTTGACTGTTCCAACATCTCTGGTAATGATGTTATTCATAACCATGACTTTGTATTCACCTTTAGAGTCATAGTGTGCCAATGTTGTGTATGTTTTGAAAAGTGTTAGTAGATGTTTGGTGCCACAAATTAGTTTGAGTGAAGGGAATACATGCTGAGTTTAGTTTACCTGAATTTAATGTACAATATTAAGTACTTTCACTATGTAGTACAAAAGTATATTCCTGCAATATTTTTTTATGTGATTGTGAGAAATGGAAGATTTTTTGTTTTCTTTCATTTTGCATATGATCGTAAAGGAGTCTCCATTTGTATTATTTAACGTATGAGTCAACAGTTTGAAAATTAAATGAAGAACTATACAATACGTACAGTACATATAAAAGAATACTGTATACATAAGGATCTGAAACATGAGAATAATATTGTGGTTACAAAATGTGGTGACCCAAGATAAGGGTGTACCGTACATACAGTATATAATGTCTATTTCTGATGTGAAAGGAATGAGCCAGTTGAAAATACTAAGTGAAACAAGATAAATACAGTATGTATGTTTGATCTTTCAAAGAACTTTGATGTGATAATCAAAATAACTAGTGAACTAAATTGAAAATAGAAGTGAAGTAATTTTCATTTAAGGCAATTTTTACCCTACTGTACAGTACTGTACTAAGGCAGTGAAAATGTCTTCTTGCAATGAAGTCGTCTTGAAAGCAAAGCTGAAGTACTGTACTAATACCTCTCATATGAAGTCCTTGGATGGGACACAAAAAAGAACGATGGAAACATATGGCCATATGGTTCATCAGGCTCACTGCTGCAAGGATTAATGTTTCACAAATTTCTGTCCCACTTTGATGGTGGGTAGTTCAGTGAAATGGAAACCTTAGCAAAAATGAAGGAAAGGATCAGTGAGATTATTATGAAACAAATTTATAAAGAGACAGGGAAGGGCTAAGACAATAAGTAGAAATACCCACACTTACTTAATGATGTAATTTAGCTTTCATATGTAAGGCACCATTTGCCTCCATTCTGTATCAAAACATAGTACTGCACTGTACCTGTGCTGTGCATACCAACTTTATTATTTAGGTTGTCCTTTGCCATGTTTTTTTTTTAGTACCTTTCATATACAGTTATTCAAATACCTTACATGAATTTACCATTCCTTAATACTGTTTCCCTGTAGGTTATGTCTCCCGTCACCATCGTCTGTCCTCTTGCAATTCCTCTTCAGAAATTGTTAACATCTTTGTGAAGCATTTTATGAGCTTTATTTTCTCCAAATTGCCTTTATTCCCATACCCATTTTCAGTTAAATTTCGCTTGTGATCCAATCATATTTAATTTGATTCTGTTTGTATCGACTCCAGTACAATTTACTGTATTTGAATTCATTCCATTAGTGCAGGGATGCACAACCTGCGGCCCTTCAGTAGCTCTGTTGCGGCCCTCGGTGTCTTATATAATCAAGACTGGAAATACAAAATTAATATGAAATAAAACTGGGACTTGAGGCAATGGGAACAATCTCTACCTTCATTCAGTTTACCGTACACTTACAATTTATACCAGCTATACTGTAAAGCTTATTTGTCTTAAATTTTTTTGCATTGCATTTTACTGAAAGGTAATACAAATTTTAAATTGACTAACAGTTTGGAGATCAAAGTCAGCAGCAGGTCCAAGCTGGACGAGAAGTGAACGTGTCGATCGGAGAGCCAGGCTGTCTAGGCGGGAGCACTGTTGCCGCTAAGCCAGTTATGTTGATTTGATCTCAGTATTATGTCTTCCTCAACATATCTAACTTTTATCCATGAGAAACCTATAGAAATGAACGAGAAAACTATATGGTTCATATTTTACGAAAATAAATGATTACTGTCATGGTTTTGGTTTTTCGTGGTTGTGTATGAGTGGATTATATTATACTGTATAGATTATAATATGTCGTATTTCTTATTTTTTACCGTAGAGTTTGATACCTTCACACTGATTACTTACAGGGGATTATAGCGTATCTACGTAAAAGTTCACTCCACCACTCGACATTCCATGATTTATACTTGATAAATGATGACTTAATGAATTCCATTAATTTTCCAACATCCATCTAAGTTATTGGTTATACTTTGTCATAACCAATCAGTCATTACCTTGAGTAATAGTAAGATAGGATCACAGATACGTGCAGATAATTGCACTTACATTTGTTTGTCAAGCTTCCATACAATGATTTACAATTTGCATGGATATATGAATCACTCACGTTCATGCTGTGATAAAATTAATCTTCTAAAAGAGAATTTTCAACTTGGGGACACATGTGATTACTCTACTATGGGTATGACTTAACAGAGCCTTAATTCTTCTAGTGTTACATTTACTGTCAGCCTGGATTGCTTTTGTTGCAACCAGGCTTCCGCACAAGAACTTCTTTCTACGGGCAATAACAACAAAAAGTACTCTTGGGTTACCACACATTGTCCCGCATCACTGACAGTCACTGTAGACGG